CACGATATGTTGGTTATTAACGCCACGCCCTATCAACCTGGTGATCCTGCCCTTAGAAACAGTTATGTAGGCTAAAATAGTTTAGGTATTATCATTATTCTGATAATAATATTAGATTCCATTCAAATCTTAAAAAATGAATGCTTATCAATTTTCAAAAATTAATTTAATATTAGAAAATTACATTGATAGTAAATTATTAGATTATAATGAAATTTAATTTAGGGAGCAGAATTTTCTATTTTATTAGCAGAAAGAAAAATTTTAACTGATTATAATGTATTGAAGTAAGATGAAAAATGAAAGAAAACAAATTTTTCTTTCTTTATTCTTTTATCATCTATTTTATCTCTGCTATCTAATTTCGTCTTTGCAAACAGTATATACACATATATTCTCTTGAGAAGAATTTTTATTATTGTTTTTATTAATTTTTACTTGTCGATTAGCGACAATATGCTAATATTCCTTAGGTTAACTAAACAAAAATGCATTTAAACTATTTTCAAAAAACATATTTTTGCTGTGGAATAAGAAAGTTTATTATAAGATAGAGTTATTTTTCATAAATTTATCTCGTTCAAAGAAAAGAGGTTATTTCTTTCATGCTCTTGAGAAAAAAAAATTTCGATACTGAATAGCTTGTCCTTATATGTTTCCTAATATATTATAACTTATACTAATAAAAGAATATTAATGTTTATTAAATGTATATTTCTGAATGGATAATTCCGAAAAGTGACTTGCAATAGCAGAAAAAGATCTACTTATCCTTATTCAGGAAAAAATACTTTTTTTAAAAAAAATCTATGTCTACAGATCAAGCATGACTTTTAAAATTTGGCAAAAAGTTAAAGAAAAAATCAAATTTTAAAATATTTTATGAAGATATTCTAATTATTTTTTGACTTAACACCATTCACGTGCTTTCTTTAAGCACTCTTTTTATGTATCGTTAAAAATATTTACATTTTTTAATAGTTTTTTGAACGTGCGTATGCTGTCAAGTTTCTTTTCATTTCATTTCGTCCCTATGTTACACATTTTAGTCTTTTTACTTTCTTAGACTAGTTCTACATTATTCAGATTAAATGTACTCTGTGCAGCTAATTACTTGTTGCATAATCTTAATTAATTCCATTAATTTGCCAAGGATTTACTACAAACACTGAACTTGTTTAAAAGAAACAGTAAAGCTTATAAAAGAGAGACGCAGAAAATATTAAACAAATTTAAATAAAAAATATTCGACGATTTAGTTTGTCTAGAATATAAAATGTGCGTCTTAAAACGTCATTTTAAGAAACATTAAAAAAAGGTGTCACCTATTCTCGAATTCTCTATTTCAAAATCTCAAATAAAACTACGCAATGTGCTAATGCTGTAATAAGTGAAATGCTTCAAATTTCTGACAAAAACAATAGCTATCGCGTTTTTAAAGATGTGGGACTGTTTAGTGAAGAAAATGCAATCCTTACGTTTGAATGAAAATTTCGAAAAAAAGCTCAAAGTGTTCAGTGTGTAAGGGGTATATTACTATAAGCGAAAAACGTAATATTTGTTTCATGAAACATTTGTTTCAAAAATGTACATAAAGGTGATACGGGCAGAATTCATAGGCGTAATTTAAGAACGAATTAAAAAATAACTACGACCAGCAACACTCCCAAACGTTAAAGAATACAAAGTAGCTGGAAAAATTTATCAGTATTTGGTAGGTTTTTTGGGATCTAGTTCCCACGCTTGATGCATCNCCAAACGTTAAAGAATACAAAGTAGCTGGAAAAATTTATCAGTATTTGGTAAAGAAAAAAAACTTTTTTGAGATGAAGCAATTAGTTGATTGTGTGATTGTATAGCAATAAATATGGTTCACAAGAATGAAGTGAAATTACTAAGACTGTTAAAATGGGTCATTTATGTATCCCTCATTTCAGTGAATTTCCCTTTAGACATATTTTTATTACTCTGATGGTATAACTGCATGTTCGGAAACATTTTCCGGAATTATTGGAAAACCCTTAACTAAATGTGAAAATATACCAGTTACTTACTTTAAAGGAATTTAATTGGAAGAAATCAAAATCTCAAAAATCATCATGAAAAATCATCAAAACTATTAATTGCTATTTATTGCTATCTAGACAATTAATTGTTATCTAGACAATATGTGATCCTGATTTTGCTGTCGGAAATCTATTATTTTTAACTTATAATGCTTGTAAACTGAGCTGTATTTCTTTCCACTAACCGCAACTGTATATTTCCCCAACTGAACATACTAATGAGGTGGAAATGTTGATTATATTTTGAAAATACCTGCGATATGAATTTTTTTCTTGTGAAATATACACTAATACTAATTTACACACTTTACACTAATTGAAAATTGTGCATAATAATTTGTCTCATGATCTCTTAAAAATCATGTGCCTCGTGATTTAAATAAATGTCTAATAAGATAACAATTATAATTTGTTATTGAGTATGATAGTCTGTATAGGGTAGTTGGCCTGCAAAATAATACTCAAGGCATTTCTTAAAAATCACGTGCCTCGTGATTTAAACAAATGCCTACTTCGTGAAATTCGTTTTCGCCTCCTGAATAAGTTGCCATTCCATTCGAAATGCGGGGGAAATTCAAAATTTGAGCTGAGAAAAATTTTTACATCATGAAGAAAATATTTGGTGACGGCTGTTACACAAAATTGCAAGTCTATTGGCAACTCCAGGAGTTTTTCTTTGTAAAGGTTATGAAAGGGTCATGGATGAAGTCTGCAGTCTTTAACATTTGTGACCGTAAAGAGAGCAGATCATTATTTCATTGGGCTTTTGTTGACAGAGACTTGACATAATCCGGAAAATTTCCTTTCCGTTATCACGGATATTTACAAAAATTACTGTCTCGACATTCCGTCTTTTTCTAATCCCACTTCCTGGTTGATCTGAAACCACCAATAATTTCCAGCCTCAGCAAATTCCTAACTTGTCTTCCCCAAACCTGTTGCACCAACGCTTGAAAACTCTCATGAACGGGCATCATTTGGAGCCAATTCGCAAGTAATGAGGCTTACAATGAGGCTGTAAACGACATTGCAAAAGGCTCTAAACATTCCTGTGGATCTTCCATGCGTCTTAAATATTTATAAATATTGCTGAAAGTGATGTATCAACACTGCAAAAACCTATTTTAAAATCTTCGAATGTGCTGTGCAAACCCATTTAATAAATATTTTCTCGATAATCAACTCAGTAGCATTACTTTTAGTACACTACTTTATGCATGCTTAAGATGAGATTAAGGTTGAGAGACGAAAATAAAATTTTAGAAGAAAGGATCAATAAACTAGAAAATAAAATGGTTAAATAATTAAACATTTAACAACTTTTTTAAGATTTTCAAAATAGTTTTATAAAAGATACCAGAAGCAAATGTAAATTTCTAGCCAAATTTCGTGATATTATTCTTAAATCTTTCCCAACGAAGTTAATAAAAGCTAAATTTCTATATTGAATATTAAAAAATCATGTTCTGAAAATAACGTGTTCAATATTACCAGAAAATGGAAAGATTTACCGGGTTTCAGGATTTTAAACACCAAATATCTGGATAATTTTTAACGAAGTAAAAATTACTTGGTAATGATTTTGGTAATGATTTTTCTAAAATTAGGAACAGAATATATAGATAAAACTAGGTAATTTTATAATGATACCTGAGCATGTCATAAAAAGCATTTATTAGGCTAAATTTTCTCAGTTAATCAGTACTCAATAATTAATCAGTTTTTATATTTTTACTAAATATGTGGTTGCGAGAACTATAAATTTGAAAGCCAGAATTTTCGGTAAACCGTTACTATATATTAGGAAAAATTACCAAATGAATGATTTAAATACCGTATAGTTTGGTTTTATTAACAAAAATTATGTTGTTCTTTTTTCCTACCAGAAATACCTTTTCCATTACAGTACGGTAAATTGTAAATTAACCAGAACATTTTTCTCTTTGTGTGTGGAAATTAGAAGTTTCGTTTGAAATTAAAGTGATCAATTAAAGCGGAAAGAGAATTCGGTTTATTCCTTTGACAATTTCAGGGGAATAAATTATCTTATTTGAATTAAGATTACTCTAGCACAAGGAATTGAAAGGGTAATTTTTCTTAACTCATTATGGGGTCTCATAAGTGATTTAAACTAATCACTCCTGGTAAAAAATTCACTTAATATTTTAGTAAGTTTTATTGAGATTTTTTTTTTACAAATGATTGATATATTGAATTTTAATTATAAATAATTGATGTTAATTTGAAGGTAGAAAGTATTTTATAATATTTTTAAATAACGAAAAGAGATATCAATGATGTTTGCTAGCGACAGTTCGGTTTAGTTAAACGAGGTTCTCCATATGTCTGTCGCGCATTATTTAAAGTTTATCAAATGTTTGATTTTTGTCATCTTATGTCAAAAATAAAATTAACGTGAATGGCATGTGTGTGACGTTCTTAAATTACATTTAAAAAGCATCGTGGAACCTCTCTCATTTTGTTTAAATTTGTGCTTCTGAAAAATTTAGTTTTGACTGGATACTTTTTTCGATACATTGAACTTCTAAAAACAAGTTTTTCCACCAATGTAAAATTTCTAGTAAGTGTAGTGAAAATTTCAGAAAATCAATTAAAATTTTCTTGATGAATGCCTTTTAGTTCCGGTTTAGTAGTGTTCATATCAAATCTTCAAATATTAATGATAATTACTATAGATTATTAATTATTTATTAGTAGTTAATAATGGATATTTAATAATTATTATTAATATATATATATATATATATATATATGTGGGTGATTCTCACGAAATATGACAATTCACTGTCCTTTTCTCCAAGATCTGATACTATAATACTAAAAGAACTTTTTTTTAAAAAAATTAATAAATTACATTGCTGTTAGCATTTTAAAATGACTTTGCACTAGCATTGACAGTTTTGTANAATTTTTATCCTTTACAAATAATCTGAACTTGCGGCTTTCATTAACATCAGCAACAGTTGTAGCCGCTAATCCTGTTGCATCATGGAGTTTTCCGACTTTTCTCGCCAAGCACATGGTGAATAACATTTCTCAGGTCGGCAACGATTACCAAATTTAAAATGATAGTAACAATATTTACCTTTCCTATTGAATGCTTTTATTGAATGACTGCGACTTCGAGATGTATTTCGGTAATTATTTCTAAATTTAGATCTACTACGGTCATTTATTTGCAGTGAATCAATTTTCTGTTCTAATGCTGCTATTCGTGCAATTAAAGCATCATTGTTGGTAACATTTGGTGAAACAGCACATATTTCTTCCCCAGTTTTCATTTCGTGAATTTTATCCGCCATCGTAGACAGTTTATCTAAACTTTCTTCACTGACAAGCAGAATATTTCGTATAAAATTCGGCATTTTATCAAGCCATAAAGATTTTAACACTTTTTCTGAAAAATCGTCTGCTCCTAAATTTTTCATTTTTTGCAAAAGTTGGCTTGGCTTGTAATCTCCAAGTTCTAATCCTGTAACTAAGCGCTGAATTCTCTTGTTTTCGCTTTCCTTAAACGTATTTAAAAGTCTTTCTTTCGCCAAGGTATATTTGTTAGGCTTAGTGTCTTTAATAATGTCCCAAATATCACGTCCGGGTCACCAGTTGTACGCAACAGAGTTACAGGATAAAAATGATCAGCAGACATTTTTTAGAACACTCATTTTTTATTATTATTTTGTTGATCTGTTGCCATTCGCAACTCTCATAAAAGTAATATGAATAGTCATGTGACATATGATGTTCCTACAATACCAAATAATGTGGCATTGTATAAACGTTTTAAATATTTTAAGAAAAATAGATAATTCACACTTTGCATTTTCACAAAGCTGTGTCTTTTTATTATTTATAACGTTTTGAGCCATTTTCAGAATTTCCATGAAGGTAGCTGGCTAAAGATAAGCTTAATTCAACTTAACGGTCATTAATAACTGTTACAAACTCACAGCAGTTATGAAAATAGCATATTATTCACAAAAAAGCGTTATTGTAGCATTTAAAAATCAGCTTTGAATCTTTTTTTAATAAAGCTTCTTTGAGTTAGGATGACTGTTCCGAAAAGTTCCATTACAATTTAGTCCAGCAAAGTAAAAAATAAAAATTTTGAAGCAGCAAAAAATCTCCCGATTCAAACAACTTCCTTGTTTTAAATATGTACTTAAAAATCTAACTTTCAGCATATTTCACTCGAGTTTTAATGACTGCCATTTCCAGCCTTATTGTTTGATATACTTTGAAGCAAGAACTTCAAAAGTGATTATTTTCTTTAAAAAAAAAAGTTTTCTTCTTAAAGGCTTAATCTTCCTGCCAGTTTATGCTTAACCGCAAAAAAAGAAGAAAAAATTGAGCTTATAGCAAAATGCTGAGTAAATAGTTTTCCTTTTAAGGAATAAAAAATAGTTCTTTAACATCAAAGAGATTTATTTCTTAATCAGTTTCTTTTCTTTTTTCGGAATTTTCAGTTTTAAAGAATATTTAAAATTTAATTTATTTTTTAAATGAAGCTTACCGAGTTGGGAAATTCTAAGAAATGATAAGAAAAAAATAGCTGAAAAGTAATATACAATTCCATGAAATGGACAGTTGTTTGTAAAATTATTTAAGTGTTCAAATTTTTTTCTGCAAAATATTTTTCTAAATTGTTTATTTTAAATTTATTTGCACAATAATTTAGCCGACATATACAATAATGGAGGTTAGAGAAGACCATGAATATAGAAATAGTACCACGGGAAAAAAAAAGCTCAAATTCAGTAACACCGCGAATGGATTATATAGTAGAATGTCTCTGATAATACCATATAATACGTAAAACATGTTTTTTTTTCGAACTAAACACACAAAAAAATTGTATTTTGTTAAAAGTTTAATAAATGAAATGCATTTAATTAATTACGAGAGTTATTTCAAAATTGTGCAAATAAAGGACTTCCAGGTATCATGTATATCGCAATAAAATGACTAAGGTAGTGTATGTATTAGATACAATATGTATAAATATATGTATTAATATAATATTTAAGCACAGCAAAATTTTTTAATTTTTCCGAAATATTTTTTTTAATAAATTTCAGCTAAAAACTTATTTTACTGTTGAACACTCAATTGATTCTGAAAATATAACACTAGTGCCATATAATATATCTTTCATACATATATACATACATACTATCTTATCTATCTTTTATCTGTCCTTTTTTATATATGTTCTTAAGCATCCCTATACCCTTTCAAAGCAGGCCTCAAAAAACTATTAGTGTTACTTCATTTTCTATTTCTTTTTAAATAGAATGCGTGGAAACACCATTGCATTTCGGAAATTCTCATGAAAATAATAAACGTAAGCAATATCGATAAACCAAATTATTTCTGAGCTCTAATCTTTTTCGTATTCGATTTTTTTATTCGCTGCTGAAAATAGTTCGCACATAAATATTATTCTCTTTACAAGGACGAAAAAAATATGAAGTATAGCGTTATCGATTAGCGAAAATAGAACATAGTTTACGTAAATAAACATTCCGTTTCCCATTTAAAAATTAAAGGTTATTTATAAAAATTAAAAAAAAATATTAGTGAAAATTTAATAATCACAATTGTCTTGAATATTAGGTATTACAAAAAAGGAGTATAACTTAATGTCTGTTTATGCAAATAAAAATTTCGTTTCACATTTAAAAGTTAAAAGTTAAGTATAAAGAGTAAAAAAAATAATGGTGAAAATTTCATAATCACTATTATCTTGAATGTTAGACACGATTTATAACATGCTACTTAAAAAATTTATTATATAAAGATAAAATTAATCTCTAGAAAAAATAGCTTTGCTAAGGAATTTAATTTAATTGATAACTCTTGAATTGGCTTTTGCAAGCACTTATAATATTTTAAATATGTTAAATTTCAAATAAAGTAGGTATGGAAAATCATAATCTTTCTTTCAATTTGGAAAAGAAAAAAAAAATCAAGAAATGCATATGAAATATACAAATCATTGAGTAAAATAAAACATTCTTTTAATGTATAATTTTTTTCACAGAGAATTGATTAGATATGTGTTATACAACTATCTGTACAGTTGGAATATTAACATTTTCACCATATTTGCAAATAAAGATTATTCGATTTTATATATTGCTAGAAAATTGAATAAAAGCAAACTTAATGCAACTCACAGTAATTGTGTCAACAAATTAAAAGAAATAAAACTTATGGTATAAGCAGGCTAATAGCAACTAAAAGTAACCTTGTAAATAAACAGACAGTAATCGTGTAAACAAACTAGAAGTAACGTAAACAATCATGTTAGCAATGTAAAATTAGTTAAAAGCAATCATGTAAACAATTAAAAGGAATTATGATAGAAATCGTGTAAAAAATATAAGCAGCTAAAAGTTGTGTAAAAATATTAGGAATTATAATTAATTCTGTAAGGAAACTGAAAGAAACTAAAATAAATTATGTTAATAAACTTAAAGTAATCGTGTAAACTAAATAAAAACAATTAAAGATAATCGTTCAGATAATTGAAAGCAGCTAAAAGTAACTACGGCTGTTTATAGGCGCAATTATTACTAGTTAAATATTAGTCGCTTTTTGGCTGTTTACTGTTTAAAAACGACTAAAAGTACACTGTAAAAAATTTCGAGCTATGTTGCACGAAACATGGGTATTTGCTTTCTACATAAATAGGTGTTCAGTTTTACTATATATTGGTGCTTTCACTAGCTCCAAACAACAAGAGAAGGTTGCACCAAAAATTGACATTTTCAAAAAACCTAAAAGCTAGTACTTTTGAAGTTTGAGAAAAACTGTTTATAACCTTCTAGAATTCTGGTAATTTCGGCAGAATAAATATTTTTATTAATAGGCTTTGCACTAGTTATAACGATATTTCTTCCTAAGGCTCTTTCTTGATTAAAAGCCTTGAAGTTGTTGCTGCCTTTGTGCTAATGAAGGAAGATTAAAAATAATGTAACGTATACTAATAAAATGCATAGGAATTGAAATAATTTCACAGAAGAAACAAAATTTGACTCCCTTACATTTTTAAAACATCGAAAGATCAATCAAAGCAAGTCATATTTTAATTACTATTTTTAAAATGCAATATTAAAAAAAATTGTGAAATTGTGAGGGGGGGGTACTTTTATCTTAAGACTCCTTTCACCCACAAAGATCCTGAGAAGGAAAGTTTTGATATTTTAAAATATTATTATTTTTTTGTTGTTGTTAAAATGCGCCAAAGCACCCAAGTAGAATTCCTCCTCATGAGAAATTTTGAATTGAATTTCATGCAGGACGACCCCTCAAAAAATTTGCAGAAGGAACTGTCAACTGTTAAAATATTAAATGAACAATATGATCATCAGTTGGATAGATTAAAGAGTTCGTGTCGAGTCTAAGAGGGTGAGATATGGCTGTTGATTAACACACATTCAGTATTCATGTGGATGGTATTAAAACTCTACATGTTTGTGAGGATTGCCTTATTAGCTAAAGTTCTTTTGTTTCATAGAAGCAAATATATTTCAGAATAAAAAAAAATACTGTTATAATTAAAATAAAACTTTTTTTTTAGAAAATAATTAAAAAAAACTGTAAATATTATATAGAATACATATGACCTTTTTCATAATCAATTACAACGTTCGATTTTGTGTTTATGTTGTCTTTTCTCTCCCTCACAAAACGCAAATGTGGGCAAAATTAATATACATAAATCTACAAAAAAAAATAATAATTCGTAAAAAAGTAAGTATCTAAAGCAAAGTATCTATGAGCATCTAAGTATTTTTTTTTATATAGATTTAATAAAAAAATATATTTATTAACTTTTTAAATACGATATTTTGTTTCATTTAAAATTTGTTTCGCTTAGTTGAAAAATATTAATAAGAAAATAGATTTTTTAAAAAAAATATAATAAGAAATCAGCTCATTTCTAAATGCTCTAAAACAAATCTTGTTTTGGTCGGTTATTTGTTCAAAATGACAGTAAGATTTTTGGTGAATAAAAAAGAATTAGCGCTTTGCTTTCTTTAATGCCAATATTGACCACTTTTTTTGCTTTTTTTCTATCTCGTGAGCCAAAAAGAAACCCAGTTTCCATGACAACGGCCGTCTTTATTTGTAGTGCTAATTTGAAATTTGAACGGAAGTATAATTCGCTTTGAAAAGTTTACAACAAAGGTATCTAAGAATGTATATACAAAAATTTGTGTGATTATGTGACATTACAAACGAAAATGAGCCATATATAACATGAAAATAGAAACAGAAGCATAGATATTGATAAAAAGTTTTAATCCTAACAAAAAGTACATACGATATTTTTTTGTTCGGTAGAATGCATTTAAGACACGGAAATTTTTCACCAGCCGTAAATTTGGCGGAAAGCTATGCTGCTTAAGATTGCTGTATTTACTGTTTGTTTGTCACTGGCATTGCACTTTCTGTGTGCATTAAATGGATGTATCTCCTTATTTATTGAAAAAGAACGAATATAGATTTTAAAATATTTAATTAGTCATACAATGAATATAGTTTCCTAGAAGAAATAGGAAACTAACTCTTTCAGAACAGACAACAAAATTTTTAAAGATGATATGAAAGGAATGAACTGTAGTTAATGCAAATAAATAAGAAAAGTTTACTTACCTTCAAAAAAATCGACGATTTCAAAGACAACTTGCATTAGATGCAAGCTTCAACAACAAAATCGGCCATTAGTCAACAGTTACAAAAAAAGTTGTGGTTCACAGTTAAAGCTTGTGCCTCTCTTCGTACGAAAGTTTGGAGCAATCGATTGCGCCATGAACGTATTTCTCGATCATATTTACCAATTTATGGCACAACCTAAATAAAACAATTTTTCATTTAACCAATTTATGGTGCAAATAGCAACTTTCTACTAAGTGTTGGTTAAACACTTACCCAGATTTTTTACAGTGTAATCATGCAAACACACTTTAAACTAATAAAATCAATCATGTAAATAAAACTAAAATTAATAAAACGTAATCATTTAAATAAACTAAGAACAATTAAAAGTAGCTATGTAAATTAACAAATAGCAATTGTGTATAGTTTTCTTGTTTTCATACCTAACAGTAACTATTCTTCACACAGTTAAATCTTTTTTATTGTTGTTTCCATATTTACAAAACAAAAATTTAAAAAAATATATAAACTAAAAGCAAATATAAACTTAATAAACCAAAATCAAATATAAACTAAATAAACTAATGTTATTGTAAATTAACAAATATTTTACCTTATATGTAAATTAACAAATAGCTATAGTGTATATTTTTCTTGTTTTCATACGTAACAATAACTATTCCTTACACAGTCTAATTTTACTGTTGTCTCCATAGTTACTAAACAAAAATTTAAAAAAATATATAAACAGAAATTCTTAAATATTTTTTTCATTTTTCTTGCTATTGTCTGGGGTTATTAACAATCTTATATAACTAACCCTTGTAAACGGGAAACAATGAAACATTAGCATCATAGGTATAAAATAACACAATACCTGCTGTCTGTAATATGAGTTGTGTAGAAGCTTCTGCAAAGATATATAAAAACATCGGGAAATCAAATTTATATCTTTTGCTGATTCTGAAGATGGCAGTCATCTTTTCCAGCCGATCACAAATTACTAAGATTGATGAAGCTATTTCCATAACTACTGCTACCCACGCACTAACTGCATAAATGGTTCTATTTTAATCAAAGGGGCGGATCTGAAACATTAGGAATTGATATCAGTTCCCTCAAAAAGAAATTGAGGTAACATTAAGTGGTGTTTTATTAAAGCAACTACTCTCAAAATAGAGTTTCATAAAAGATAAAAATATAGTTTTATTTTTGTATAAATGTTTATTTGAACTTCGATTTTAGTCAAATATTTTAAACATAACTATAAATTATCAAGCAGTTTATTTATATATTTAAAGCTTCACTAAGTTAAATTACAATGTAAGAAGCATCTGTTACACTCTTTCGTAAACGGAAAAGGTATCTCGAAGTTACGTGATTTTCTCTGTCATCACACTTTCTCCTTCTCCGTTACCATGTGTTTGTCTAATCTTGCTTACTCCCCCCTCGCGTATCAGTAAGAAGTTTGTTGCAGTGATAAAAAAGTAAGCCTGACGGCAAGGGGACTCTAACCCATGATCTGCATATCACTGAGGATATTTTACATCAGCACTGTGGTCGGTGCAAGCCGGATGGGGAGTTCATATCGACCAACCATCGCTGGGTTTCGAAACCGGTTCACCTCACTGGAATGTGAACGCTCTATCCCCTGGGCCATCATCGCTCGGTAATGGGCATATTATTTTATTTTAGAACCGTCGTAGAACAGCCGACTCAATTTTGGGTTTACGACTACTAATGTTCAACTCCGTAGCCTTGTAATTTTGAACCAATAAAGAAGACAAGGAAACTCCTGGATCAGTACCCCCAGAGGTATGATTTGTATAGGGAACATGAAGGACTTTATGACTCGACAGATTTAACGTAGATCAGTCACCATTTACCACACGGAGAGTCTTTGGCAGCTGGTGATCGAACCCACGACCTCTTAGATATGATATAGACCTCTTAGACAAGCAAAGTTTGCCGAAACTATGGTAATAAAAAGATGAAACATGGGAAGAACTGAGAAATCACACAACATTAAGACTCTTAATACTATAAAAATTGACTTAACGTTGACAATATCGGTATTTTAGGGATAATATAATACAAATTTGTTGAAAGATGTTAAATTTAAATGTGTTTGAGCCCTAGTACAGTGTAATCAATCTTAAATTTTCAGAACAGCATGATTCCACTTGGCTCTATATTAAATTTGCAGCAAAACTGAACAATGTTAAGGTTTCATCGCGCTCCGGAAATTTTAAAACTATTGCTGAAAATTAAACTCCAGAGGCAAAAGTCAAGTTTGTCTTTCATGTGAGACAAGTATTAGAAGTTACTTATCATAATATATAATGAAGACTATTAAATAAATATGCTCTCTCTCTATTTTTTTATTAAAAGCAACCAATGAAAAGTTTACGTGCTTTAAATGCAATAAATTTTTATTCCTTTTTGAAATTTCCTGCCTCATATGGTCTCTGGTGCTTTTGTGGTTTCCTTTTAAGATCGTCAAACATATTTTCTTTCAGCAGCTTAAAGTACTTCATTTTAATATTCAAAAAGGATAAAATTTCATTTTTAAAAATAAAGTTATAAATTCTTCTTATACCAGTGGGGAAATTTATTCCCTAAACATGAGAGCATAAATGCAACTTATAAACGCTTTTAATATGCTCTTAAGAAATACTTAGGGATAATCTTAGGAGAATAGCCACTATAAGATTTGTTGAATTTTTCGAATATCTTTTAAGATAGCTTGGTTATTAATTTGCATGTGGGTAAATTTTCATCCATAGGTAAATAAGTAAATCTCATTGCATAAAAGTGTGAATTTTTACTCATGAGTAAAGATTTATAAAGCTTCTACATTAATAAAAATCATTGTATAAATTTATCTTTGTATTATAAAGTGACCAGTATTTTTTTATCTGCAATATAGTAACAAATGTTCTTCGGTGAAGAAGTTACATGCATCGTATGATGACATTCAACTATATATTTTTTTAATCCCTCTCTGATGTAACAGATGCAACTTTTAGTAGTAATTATTTAAAATACCTAACGAAATGCGTATTATATATATATATATTGCAAGCTTCAACAACAAA